AACGTGGGTCCTCTGGAAGAGCAATAATTGATCTCAACCACTGAATCATCTCTCCAGTCCCTACTCCATGTTTAAAAAAAAACAAAAAACTAGAAACAGGCAAAATTACCCTTAGCGTTGCTTTGCCCAATTCCATATATAAAAATATTATAGTTTTAATTTTGTCCATATAAAAGTATTAGTGAGCATTTCCGTTTTTTTCCAGCTAAGTCTTTGGAATTCTGGCGTATACTTAACATCTACAGCACAGTCTCTATTCATTCTTGCCACAGTACAAGATCTCAGTAGCTACAGATGGTTGGAGGCTACCATGGCAACAAAGCCAGCCCACAACAGTATTTCCAAGCTCCGGTTTGCACCAACAGGAAGGCTGTTGAAACACACTCGGCTGGGCCACAGTTTCTCGTCCAGTAAGTCTTAGTGGTGTTAAAATCCAAGGATTCTAACCAATTTACCATGTGGTCTAAAGATCACATGTTGAGAACGGCTCGTCTAGAAATGGGACAAAAAACAGAGATGCAATAAGGAGCCAGCGCTATCAAGCAAGAAGGTGAAAACTGAGCGTGCTGGCTGGGTGCGGAGCTCAGAGATAGAACATGAAAAAAAAAAAGAAAGAAAAAACATTATATATTTATTTCCTAGGTGGGGGGAGGGGGAGATGTGTGCCGTGGCACAAGCGTCAATGTCAGAGGGCAACTTGGGGGAGGTCGTTCTCTCCTCGTGTCCCACGGGTCCCAGGGGTTGAATTTTTGGTTCGGGGCTTTCGGTTTGTTGGCAAGTTGCCAATGTTCTTTTGCACATGCTCTGTGTGTGTGAGGCCCTGGGTTTGATTCCCAACCCTGCAAAAGAACATTTCACGTGAGATGCCGCTACATGTATAGTTGAATAGCTAAAAGCCGAAATACTGACACCGCCCATTTGTTGGTGAGGATCTAGAATGGTCGCCATTCTGTCAACACGGAACCTGCACATAGCTGTTCACAGCAGCTTAATTTAATTAATCAATTAACTGCCCGACTTGCCCTTCAGTGGGCAGTGGATAGAGCGTGGACCATCAGGAGAACGGGATGCTCAGTGTTGAAAAGAAATAAGCAACAGGCATGATGGTGCACCTGAAATCACAGCACTCAGGAGGCAGAGGCAGGCAGATTCTCTGGGCTCCAGGCCAGTCAAGACCACAAAGAATGGCATCCTTTGGAAAGTGTTGTGCCACTGCCCTGAACATGGCCTGCCACGTTCAGAAGTCACGTTACCCCCTGTGACTAATGCGGCCGCCTGCTGAGTGCAAGAGAAAGGATAGCTGGAGTGGGCTTTACCTACCTGAAAGTCTTCTATTGAAGAGTTGGACTTGGGTTCTGTGAAGGAGCCAAAGCTAAATCCGTGAGGGCGGCTGGCATGGCATCCAGCTCCACTGGAGGTTTCTGGCAATCAGTTGTAAAATAAACGTTCAGGTTTCAAAAACTAAAGAAAAGAAAAGCATCTATATATAAAGTCATGAAAAGATACTGAAGGATCGCCAGCGCATAGAATCAAGGAAAGATGCCAGTCTGCAAAGGCCGAACACTGTATGGTTCTATGTGACATTCTGGAAAAGAGCAGAGCTATGACCACAGCAAAAAGATCAAGGGTTTCCAGGGGTTTGTAGGGGTGGTGGATGGTGTGATGGGTAGGTGGAACACAGACTTTATTTGTTTTAATTATGTTGCCTGTATGTGTGTCCTGTGTGTGGATATGGGCACAAGTACAGATGCCTGTGAGGACAACGGATCCCCTGGAGCTGGAGTTGCTAGTTGGCATAGTTGCTAAATTCGAGGGCAATAGGCACTCTCTCTAGCCCAGCATGGGATGTGTTTAGAGCAGTGAAAGCATTTCTTATTCTACCTCAATCAGGGACACCCGTCGTTATGCTTTTATCTAATCCCACTGGAATCAGAGCAGCAAGCGTGAACTCCAGTGTGGGGAACGATGAACCAGTGAGATCCGCTGAGTGTGACCAGTGCACACTCTGACGCAGGAGGGTGATGTGGAAAACGTGCGGAGCAGAGCGTGGGAACCTTCCGGGCTTCAGCTCCGCTGCAGCCCTAAAACTTATCTAAAAGCTAAAATCTGTTAGCCGGGCATGGTGGCTCACACCTGTAATCCCAGCCCTTGGGGAGCCAGAGGTCGGCAGATCTCTGTGAGTTTGAGGCCAGCCTGGTTTACAAAGTGAGTCCAAGACAGCCAAGGCTACACAGAGAAACCCCGTCTTGAAACACCGTTCAAAAGAAACCAAACCAATAAAACAACAACAATAACAAAGTGCTAGATCATCAAGCCAGATGAGCAATGGGACTCCAGACGATTGAGTAGCTGGAAACCATCCTCGTTTTGTCCCTTAAAGCAGAACTCGGCAGAGTCAGTTTTTCCAGGTTTCTGGAGAATCTGGCATAAGCAGGAGCTGGTGCCAACCTGAAATTGTAAGCTTTTGTAACCAAGCAACTGTCTACAGGCTTTGATAATGCTGCCCAAATCTCCTTTTTTGCATGTGTATAAATAATTGCGTGTGTGTGTAGGTGCACATGCATGTATGCGTATGTGTGTGTGCGCATGTTGTGTGACAAAACTTTTCCTGGGGAGATGCAACACGCACACCTTCTCACCGCATATGGGGAACTCAAGACAGACCAAAGTACGGACAACACCGAAGTCCAGCTCCGTGAGCCAGTGGGTTTTATTGGGGTTACTTACAGGAGCAGAAATGACTTAAACACAGCTGAATCACCAAGAACCACCCCAGCACGGGTGACAGCTCACAAAGCTGGGGACCTGGGCACACTGCACAGCCTGTGGACAGCTTGGACAGTGTCCTTCCCAGGCGCCTCAGCTAGTCTAAACCTCTTCCAGGCAGCTTGGCTGCTTTCTCCTTCTTCCGGGCAGCTGGTCTGCTACGAGAGGGATTTTGTTTTGGTTTGTTTTTGTTGTTTGTTTTTTGTCCACTTGGCTGTTCTTCTAGAGGAACTCTCAGCTCTTATTGCTTAATCTGGCGGGGATGGGCCTAGTGAATCTAGTCACTTTCAGGGACTTCCTTCAGCTCTTTTGAGTTGTTTGCCTTTCTGGCTAGGGAGCTTCTGTGCAGATTGGAATGTTTCAGTTTCTCAGGAAACTGTTACATAACAGCATACATGTGAAGGCCGGCACCTCCTTCAGGTATCAAAATTCAAGTGCTAGCCACTTTATTTTTGGTCTTTTTTGTTTCGGTTTCTTTTCTTTCTTTCTTTCTTTCTTTCTTTCTTTCTTTCTTTCTTTCTTTCTTTCTTTCTTTCCTTCCTTCCTTCCTTCCTCTCTCTCTCTCTCTCTCTTTCTTTCTGGACAGGGCTTCTCTGTGTAGCCCTCAATGTCCTTCCGGTCCATAGACCAGGCTGGCCTCGAACTCAGAAAACCACCCCACTCATCCACCATTTTTTTTTTTTTAATTAAAAAATTCAGAAGCTGCAGTGGCGCAAGCCTGTAATCCCAGCGCTTGGGAGGCAGAGGCAGGAGGGGCTCTGTCAGTTTGAGGCCAGCCTGGTCTACAAAGCGAGTCCAGCTCGGCAAAGGCTACACAGAGAAACCCTGTCTAGAAAAAAAAAAAGATTATTAATTAAATTAAATCAGAGCCAGGCAAGATGAAGCATGCCTTTAATTCCAGCACTTGGGAAGCAGAGGTAGGCAGATCTCTGTGAGTTCGAAGTCAGCATAGTCTACATAGTGAGGTCCAGGACAGCCAGGGCTATAGACTGTCTAAACAAACAAACAAAAGAAAAAACCCACACACATTGTTTGTTTGTTTATTTATTTATTTTTTTATTGTATGGGCTTATGGAAATGCATATGACAAAACGCACGTGAAGGCCAGAGGACAACTTGGTGAAGGTGCTTCTTTTTTCTCAGAGCGGATCAGACTTCGGTTATCAGGCAGTCTCGGGGGCCGGCTTTGACCCGTCGAGCCGGCTCGCTGGCCCCCATCTTGTCCTTTGACATGGGGCCTTCCTTACTTCACCGGAACTCAACAAGCAGGCAGTCGGCTGGCCGGCCAGTGAGGCCCAGCGATCCTCCCGTGGGCGCCTCCCCGGGGCAGGGGGTGCACGTCGGAGTCCTCGGGTCAGGTGTTGTTGACATGGGTTCTGGGGGAGAGGACGCAAGTTTTCACACTTGAACACGTACATCTTAGGGGCGCGACGGATGGCGCATTTACGCCCACAGGTCCTCGGGCGTAGCTTTAAGACGACCACGCACCAACCAACACAAAACCCAGATTCAGGAAACCCGAGCCTAGGCCGGAGGGCAGCCTTCTTCCACCTAACGCTACAAGAGTTTCTTTTCTTTGCCTCCTGATGAAGATATGGGCGCGGAGGGCCTCACGGTCACCCGGCCGGGTTGCCGTGCGATTTCCCTAATCTTCCCAGCGCCTCTCCGAAGCCGGCGGGCGCGCGCCCCCCTCTCGGCCAATCAGCGTGCCGGTGCCCGTCCAGCCTGGCCAATCCCGAGCGAGCTCACTTTGAGCGGGAAAACATCTCAAGCCGTGACCTGAGCCGGGCCGAGGGCGAAGTCGGCTGGTAACTGCTCGCAGTGAGCGCTGTCTCCGGGGGGGGGGGGGGGGGGGGGGGGGGGGGGGGGGGGGGGGCGGCGGGGGGGGGGGGGGGGGGGAACAGACCCTGGAGGCGGCCTCCCATTGGCTGGGCGGCGGGCCAATGAGGCGCGCGAGATGCGGGGTGACGGGCCTGCGAGGCGTGGGCTGGGCGGGGCGCCGGTGGCCGGTGCCTAGTCGCGAGCCGCGCAGAGCAATGTAACGGCCTCTTGCCCTGTCGCACCCTGTCGGCTCGGGCCCCCCCCCCCCCCGTCCGCAGACCGGCTCCAGGCGGTGCCCAGGGCGGCTGCGGCAGCGGCGGGGTGCGGGCTGAGGGAGCTGGGCCTCGACGTCCTCCCTCACCCCCGTACCCCAGGAGCTGGAAGGCTCGTCCAGGAGGAGGTGGGGGGCCCCCATGGAGGTGAGCGGCGGAGACGCCCGCGGGCCCCGTCACCCCCAAGGCCCGAGGGAGGGAGCTGAGGTAACCGACCGGCGGCGGGCGGGGGCGGGGAAGGGGAGGCTTCGAGGATGGCGACCCCCACCACCGCGGGGCTGCGAGGCGCCGAGGAGCCGTCGAGCCGCCACCCCTGTCAGCCCGTCGATCGAGGCGCTGGGGCGCGGGGAGGCCTGGGCCCGCAGCCTGCGCCTGTCAGCGCCGTCGAGGGACGCCGGGGCGCGGGGAGGGGTGGGGGGGACCCCCGGTTAGGGCCCCCGCCGTCGCCGCAGCCCCGCCGTGACCCCCCCGCGTTCCCTTGCTCCCGAGCAGCCGAAGGTGGCGTTCCGCGGCAGCGCGAATCGTTGCTGGAACCTGAGCGTTGACACCAGCAGCCGACTGTCCGATGTGTTCAACAGCATGATGCTGACGGGCTCCACGTCCTTCTATGATTGCTACAAGTCGCAGGTCCATTAACAAATCCCAGCTCCCCGCCCCCTCCCTCCCTCGGCCCCCCCCCCAACCCCCAACCCGGGCTCCAACCCAGCCAAGGTCGAACCAAACCAAACCAAAGCAAAACCTCAACAGCTGGCATCAGAAAGCTGGAGGAAACAGGCGGTTGGTTGGTTGGTTGGTTGGTTGGTTGGTTGGTTGGTTGGTTGGTCTGAGAACCCAAGTTTTTTTTAATTGCATTTATTGTTTTTGAGGGGCGGGGAGGAGGGAGGACGGAAACGTGCCGTAGCGGACGTGGTGGAGATCAGCGGACTCTTCAGAGACAGTTCTCGCCTTCCACCATGTTGGCCCTGGGGTTTGAACTCAGGTCCTCAGGATTAGCGGCAGGCCATCCCCGTCTGTCCCCCAACCCATCTGACTGGCCCAGAGGAAAATACTTTAAGTGGGGTTCGCGGAATACACACACACGGCTTTGGATTTTTGTTTGTTTGTTTTCGAGACAGGTTTCTCTAGACAACAGCCCTGGCTGTCCCGGAACTCACAGAGATCCACCTGCCTCTGCCTCCCAGACTGGCTCTTTCTTTTCTTTTCTTTTCTTTTCTTTTCTTTTCTTTTCCTTTTCTCTTCTCTTCTCTTTTCTTTTTTTTAAGCTGAGCGGAGGTGGTGCCCGCCTGAGATCCCAGCACTACATAAGAGGCAGGTGGATCTCTGAGTTCGAGGCCAGTCTGGTCTACAGAGCGAGTTCCGGGACATCCAGGGCTACAAAGAGAACCCTTATGTCAAAATAATAATAATAAATGAAAAAAATAATTTTTCTTATACCTATGGTAGTTTTGCCAGCATGTGTGTCTGGGTATCACATCTGGAGACCAAGATGTCGGATCTCCTGAAATCGGAGGTGGAGGCAGTTGTGAGCCACCAGGTCAGGGCAGCAGCCTGGGTCCTCTGAAAGAGCAGCCAATGCTCTTAACCACTGAGTCATTTTTTCATCCCTAGAAAAGATTTTTTCTTAATATTTTTTTTTTCATAGTCTTTGGACCAAACTCCGAGTCTTCACAACCTAGGTGGAGGAGCTCATCAGGAAATTTCTTTCTTTCTTTTTTCTTTTTTCTTTTTTTTTTTTTTTTTTTTTGAGACAGGGTTTCTCCTTGTAGCTCTGGCTGTCCTGTAACTTTCTGTATTCGTTTGTTTTAGATATTTTTATTTTGTGTCCATTGGTGCCTTTTGCCTGCATATATATCTGTAAGAAGCTGTTGGATCCCCTGAAACTGAATTTATACACAGCTGTGAGCTACCATGTGGGTTCTGGGACTTGAACCTGAGTTCTCTGGAAGAGCAGCTATTGCTCTTAACCTCAGTGCCACTTCTCCAGCCCTCCAAAAAAAGCTTTGTGTGTTTTCTGTTTTGTTTTTTTAAGACAGGGTTTCTCTATAATTGCTCTGGCTGTCCTGGAACTCACTTTGAAGACCAAGCTGGTCTCAGAGATCTGCCTGCTTTTGCCTCCCAAGTGCATACTTTTTTTTTTTTTTTTTTAATGTACAATGGTGCTCTGCCTCCATGTATGTCTTTGTGAGGGTGTTAGATCCCCTGGAACTGGAATTACAGACGGTTATGAACTGCCATGTGGGTGCTGGAAATTGAACACAGGTCCTCTGGAAGAACAGCGCTCTCAACCTCTGAGTCATCTCTCCAGTACCCAAGAATAGATTTTTTTTCCATTGCCTCATTTCCATCATGTCCTTAGTATAACATGTCAATAATATAAGAAAATTCATGCTTATTTAGCAAGACTAAATATTGTTTTAAGCATTTATTGCAAATACTTTTCATTTTTAGTTTCAAACACAACTTGATCTCTTTTATTATTTTTTTGGTTTTTTGAGACAGGTTGTTTTCGTGTATGTAGCCTTGGCTGTCCTGGAACTCACTTTGTAGACCAGACTGGCCTCCAATTTAGAGATCCGCCTGCCTCTGCCTCCTGAGTGCTGGGATTACAGGGGTGTGCCATCACTGCCTGCGTCCACACTCAGTAATTTAAAGGTAAAAATTATTACACTTTTTTCTTTACAATGTCTTCAAATTGCATGCTATTGTTGACATCGTAAAGCTTTTTATTTTTATTTTTTGGTTGGTTGGTTTTGGGGTTTTTTGTTTGTTTGTTTGTTTTGTTTTGGCTTTTCAAGACAGGGATTCTTTTCTGTGTGTAGCCTTGGCTTTTCTGGAACTGGCTCTGTAGACCAGAGTGGCCTCAAATTCAGTGATCTGTTTGCCTCTGCCTCCTGAGTGCTGGGACTAAAGGTGTGCCCCTGGCAAGACAATTTTGTTAATCAGGTATAGAATAAAGTTTTTAAAAATGTGTGTTTTATCTGCATGTATGTATATGCACCATGTGCTTACCTGTGGAGGTCAAATGAAGGTATTGTCTCCTTGGAACTAGAGTTGCAGATGGTTGCAAGCCACTCTATGGGTGCTGACAGTTGAACCGGGGTCCTCTCCCAAAAGCAGCAAGTACTCTTTACCTGCTGAGCCATTTCTCTTGCAAATTCTCTTTACTTGAAAAATTTTAAGCAGGTCATCAATATTGATATATTTTTCAGTCATAACAATGCACAGGAATAATTTAATCTGCATTATAACTTATTATAATATTATATATATTACACAGATTGAAAAATTGAAGCTCAATAGCTTGGTTTATGCCTTATACAGAACCTTAAGTCTCTTGTTTTCTCTTTTTCCTTTCTTCCCTTTCTATCTATCTTTCTATCTATCTCTTTCTCTATCTCAACAGTCTCAAATATCCCAGGCTGGCCTTTAACTCACCATGTATCTGAATATGATGATGAACTTCTGATCTTCTTGCTTTTGCCTCTAGAGTTGAGATTATAGGTGTGGCCACTATGTCCAGGTTAAGGGATGCTGGGTTTAGTATAGGCTAAACAAGCTCTGAAAACTGAGAAGCATTCCCAGTTCCTATAGTCCAAATCTCTTCACTCCAAAGACCAGACTTCTCTGCTATTGCCTGTAGTTATCTTTTTACTAAAAGTTACTTGGGGCTAATCTCATTTAGTTATGTATATGAAGTATATCAGTATAATTAGCATTTACTCAAATATTTACATACTACCAAACTTTCATAAATATTTAACAGGAAAGTGTCCATATATTTCTCACCATAGTATTTACTTGATTGTTTTATCAAAATGTACATACTTGGGTTGGGGTTGTAGCTTAATTGGTAGAGTGCTTGCCTAGCATGCACAAATCTGAGTATGATTTCTAACATTTGCATACACTGGGTATGGTGGTACAGACCCATGATCCTAGTGCTGGGAAGGTGTAGAGGGAGAATGATCAGAAGTCCAAGGTTATCTTTAGTTTTTGAGACAGGCTCTGATACTGACCAAGCTGGTCTTGGACTCATGGTACAGCTGAGGCTGACCTTGAACTAATCCTCCTGCCTCCCATCTCACAAGTGCTGGGATTGCAGATGAGTGCTATCACACCAGTTCCTTGTATTTCCTTCTTATTGCAGTATAGCTTTAAAGTTTCCTAAGAGGAGCCGCATGCTTGTAATCCCATCACTCCGGGAGACAGAGGCAGGCAGATCTGTGTGAGTTCAAGGCTAACCTGGTCTACAAAGTGAGTCTGGAACAGTAAAGGCTGCACAGAGAAATCCTGTCCTGAAAAAAATTTAAAAAAAGACAAAAAATTCCAAAGAAATAATAATATTTATCTTTTTACTTATACTTTTTCAGTAGCTCTTGGAATTACAAAGTAGGCTTAAAATTTAAAAATTGTGAATAGGGCCCTTGGTTAGGAGTAAGATCTTGATTTTTGTTTTAATTTTGTTACATATTTGCTGGGTAACCTGTAACCTTGTTTTTTGTTTTATTTATTTAATTTTTTTTTTTGGGTAGTCTAGTGTTCTGCCACTGAGCTATGCTCTCAGACCCAGTTTCTTTGTTTTTAATATAGAGAAGCCAGGTGGGGCTCTGCCTGTAATCTCAGTGTTTGGAAACCTGAGGCAGGAGTATTGCTGTGAGTTATAGGCCAGCTTGAGGTATAAAGTGAGATACAGAGTAAGACCCTACCTCAGCAACAACAACAGAGAGATAATACTTGTTTCCTAGGTTGCTAAATAAAATAATGTATGTGGAATTTCTATGAAAATTAATGAGTTTTACATAGTTGTATGTTTTTCAGTGAACAAATTTTGTAAAGCCGGGCATGGTGGTGCACACCTAAAATACTAGTACTTGATAGAGGCAGGCAGATCAAAAACTTTAGGTCATTCATGGTGGGTTCAGGGCTACTCTGGAGTACATGAGACCCTGTCTAAGGAAAAAAAAAATTGAATGTTGTGTACAATTTACTTCCACATAAAGTCTTCTGTTTTAAAATATTAACACTACATTAGCCATGGCTATCAGTAAGTGGTTGCAAAGAGAAACTGAAGGGGTGATGCAGTGGCGGCACAGGCCTCACTCCCAGCCTTTACAAGAGCCACCTTTTTAGTAAACACTTCTCTTTGAAAACAGTTTACGTGCTGGGTGGTGACGGTGCACATCTTAGATTCCAGCACTCAGGAGGCAGAGGCAGGCGGACCTCTGAGCTCAAGGCCAGCCTGGTCAACAGAGTGAGCTCCAGGACAGCCAAGGCTACACAGAGAAACCCTGTCTCGAAAACCAAAAAGATTACTCCTATCATTTTGTGGGGGTGGGAGACAGGGCACCTGTATCTATGGCACATGTGGCGGTCCAAGGACAACTTGAAGGAGTTGGCTCTCCGCTTCCACCATGTGGGTTCTGGGAGATGTAAACTCATCAGGCTTGTTGGCATGTGCCTTTACTCACTAAGCCATCTCACCAGCTGATCCCCATTTTTCTCATATAAGGGAGCTATTAATAGAGGCTTGATATATCTTTAGTTTAACAAAGGCTCTAGATCTGATCAATAACTTTTTGTACATAAAAATATATTGCAACACAAACATGCTCATTTGTTTATATATTGTCTGTATTTGCTTCAGCTTCAGTGCTGTATCAAAATTTAGGAACTGCAGCAGATTGTAATGGCCCATAGATGTTTATATTCCAGCTTTTGAGTCCTTTAATAGCTCAGCTAGATTTGAATGTTGTTGTCCCAACTCCTAACAGCTGTATTATTATCTAATTTCTTATTATTTTGCTAATACTCTTGAATAAGTGAAATTTTGATCTCTCTCTAATGTAGAAATATTTCTTTAAAATTTTAGAATGAAGACAACGTAGACCTAAGGCAGACCTGCACTCCACTCTCTTCATCAACAGAGTATACAAGTTCTATAGACTCCTCACTCTTCTATGCACCATGGTCTACTTATGGAGATGATATTAAACAACCTTCTAGTTCTCAGATCAGTGTAAAGAACAGGTAAATTAATAAATTTCTCAGTAAATTGGTTCTCTCCTAACATGTAGGTCCCAGGGATGAAAATGAGGTCATTAGGCCTGTGGTAAACCTTGCTGAGGCATCTTGACAACCCTTAAAATAATTAAACTTAAAATCTAGGAGGCTACAGAGATGGCTCAGTGGTTAAGAGCACTGGCTGCTCTTTGAGAGGTCCTGAGTTCGATTTTCAGCAATATCTCTGATGGGATCTAAACCCTCCCTCTTCTGGCATGCAGGCATAAATGCAGACAGAGCACTCGTACATAAAATACATAAATATACATTTTTAAAATCTTTAGAATCTATTTTTATCCAATTTTAGGTTTTCACTGATTTTCCCTAAAATATACAAAAGAGGTTTTATGCAGCACGAAATATTTTAAAGTATTTTCTATCCTGCAAACAATAAGAGCTTACTGTGTGTCAAATATTCTCTTACCTGAGGAAAATAGAATTAGTATAGTAGATAGTAATGAAGATAATGACAATAATAATGTACCAGGGACTGCAAGTAAGGATAAAAAAAAGAATGGGGCCAGGTGTGGTGTTGCTTGCCATTAATCCTTGAACTCTGTCCTGGGGTGTGTGTGTGTGTGTATGTGTGTGTGTGTGTGTGTGTATATATATATATATATATACACATATATACACACTTTATATAACGTTATGGAAAGCTGTTGAGAAGAAAAGCTTACGAGTGATGTTTACATTTATTTTAATTACATGATAACTATTAATGAAAGCTTGATGTATCATTAACAAGGAAACATATTTGTTGAGCTCTACTAATTAAAAACACTAAAAGTTAAAACTATGGGTAGTGAAACATTAGATCATATAATGCACAATTCTCTAAAAATAATTGAAGTTGATAGATGCTATCAACAATTCAAAGGCTGGGCATGGTGGCACATTTCTTCAATGCCAGCAGAGACAGGCAGGTTGCCTAAGCTAGCTTCAAACAACTCAATTTTGGAGTTTTGTTTGTTTTTTTTGTGACAGAGTCTCTCTACGTAATCCTGGCTATGCTGAAACTTACTATATAGACCATGCTGGCCTTGAATTTAGAGATCCACCTATGTCTGTTTCTCAGGTGCTGGGATTAAAGGAAAAGCCCAGCTGTTTTTCCCCTTTGTGTGTGTGTCTGTGTGTGTTTTTGTTTGTTTGGAGTTTTTTTGTTGTTGACTTTTGAAACAGGGTTTCTCAGTATTAACAGCCTTAGCTGGCCTGGAGTTAGCTCTGTAGACCAGGCCGGCCTTGAACTCACAGCAATCTACCTGTCTCTGCCTCCCTGAGTTCTGAGATTGAGGGCATATATCACCACACCCAGCTCTTTCTCTCTCTCTCTCTCTCTCTCTTTGTTTTGTTTTTGTTTGTTTGCTTTATTTTTGTGACAGAGTCTCACTTTGTAGCCTTGGCTGGCCTGGAACTCACTATGTTGAACAGGTTAACCTCAAAGTCATATATGTCTAATTGCCTCTGCCTCCTGTGCTATCATTGAAGGCAATGACTGCCTGAGCTAGCATTGAAGGAATGTGCCACCAGGCCCAGCTTCCTTTGGTTTTCAAATAACAAATTAAAAAACTGAGCAGACTTAGAATGATGTACAATTAGAGTGGACATGCTTTCAGGTGTAGTACCAAGCATTTCTGTATCACTATATGTCAGAAATTTACATCTTGGTCACTTAAAATTAATAGCAAATGTTATAGAGAAATAAGAGGTAAGCATATTTTGTAAACTAGGCATAGGATGAAATGGAGAAATACTTATGTATAGTAGATGATATTCTAAACTAGAAAAAAATGTTCTTGTCTTTTCCTTGTTTGAAATGATGTATAGAGTCAGTCTAAATATCTTATTGGAAAGATGATAAAGGAGATGGGAATGTAGCTTAATGTTAGGGCACTTGTCTAGCATGCATCAGGTCCTGGATTTACAATACAAAAGAAAAATGAATATAAACTATCTTACTTGTTAAAACATTAATTTGTCCTTCCATATTATATATTCCATTCTTTTTTGTTTTTATTCATTTTTAGGATTCAGACCGAAAGAAATGACTATGGCAGTGAAACCGACTTATATGGACTTGTGTCTAACATTTTGGAAGAACAGGATAAATCGCAGCCATATTTTGCTGAAGGGTTAGTATATAAGCTTTATAGTGTGTAATGGACCTTTGATATATACTAGGTTACCTTTGGTTTTACATTTATTTTTATTTAACAACAGATCATAGAATAATAGGAATTATCAGATATTTTTTTCCAGGAGCCTTGACTTTGCTGAATTTACTTGCCACACATTTGAGTGTTCCGCCTAAGGTTTTATTTGCTTAAGAACTTTGATTTGAAAAAAATATTTTGCATAATTCATAGTTATTTCCCTTGAGTTCATGAGCTGAAGTTTGGCTTAAGGAACATAAGTTCCAAGAAGCTTTAAACTTAGACCTTGAAGTATAAAACTCATTATTCATTGCAGAAATACATATGGATTTTATTCATGCAGTAGAGGTTTTAAAATGTTTTGTTTTATTTGGGTGTGGAAGCCATATTACCCAAGTGCCCTATTAATCAATAAGAAAATATGCCATACACATGTAACCAGTTAAAATACTTTAGTTTCAAAAATATTTTAAGCAAAACACATCTTTTTTCATTATAAATTGTGGTCAACACACTTGAATCATATAATTATTTAAAGGAGAAACTTACTATATGCTTAGTGTAAATTTATGTAAGGCCCTAAAATTACCCTCCTTGGCCTTTGTTGATGACTTTTGGAAAAGTGTGGTGAAGATATTAAAATGCATCACACATTGCTTAATGATGGGGACATGATCCAAGAAATGAATCATTACACCATTGCACTGTCACAAGAACAAAGTCCTTACCCAAAGCTAAATGGTATAGGCAATCATTCAGTGTGGCTCCTGAATGTGGTCAAAAGACACAGTAACCATGAAGTGCTCCAAGTGGGTGCACACTTCTGCAATCTCAATCTGAGCCAAGGTAGTTCAATCTGGAGTTGAAGGCTATCCTGGACTACCTAGAAGGTTTGAGGTTGACTTTGGCTGTATAACAACAAGACCCTGTCTACAAATACACAATCAAAAGACAGAGGAGGAATGAGAGACAGTGTAACCATAGAATACACAAGGTTGCTGCTAGTGGAATGACCATTTTACAATTAATTTATTTTGTTTTAAAAATAATAGACACTAAAAATATGCAGGGGCTGGAAAGATGGCTCAGTGGTTAAGAGTGCTCGCTTTTCTTCCAAAGATCTCAATCTCACACCAATATGGGACGGCTCACAAACTTTTGTATCTCCAGCTCCAGGGCACGTAATGCCTCTGAGAGAACTGGACACACATGCACATACCCACATGCAGACACATACACATAAAAATAATTAAAAATAATAGAAATAAATATAAAAACTTTAAATATACTACAGTAAATGTAAAACCTAGCAACATATTCATCATCACCTAATACATATTACACACAGCTGTGCCCTATACTATTAAAGGGCTGGTAGTGCAGTAAGCTTGTTTATATCAGTACAACGAACATAAGTAATGCCTTGCCACTAAGGCAAAGGGAATTTCCCAATTCTGCTGGCAATCTTAGAGCACCATCATATATTTGATTTGTTACTACCTCACCTTTATTTGGCACACAACTCTTATAGCAGATAGACATTTCATATAATTGACTTGTTTAGAGACAGTGGTGGTATATAAGTAAGAGTTGGGAAGATTTGAGATGGTGAAATGGGGTAAGAGAGAAAAAATTTATTCTTTCCTAATGTTTCCAGAGGAAATAAAGTCTCTAAGACTTAAATTGTAATTATATGTGTTTACTTGTTCTAGGACCTGCTCCTCCAATTTAAAGTCAGTTTGGCCAATGAACACAAGCAGATTTGTAGATCACCATGACCTCTTAACAGAAACCAAAAGGCCAATAGATACTGCTATTTCTCAGCAAGCATTTTATAGTGGTGAATCTGTGTCAGCAGTGGAAAAGCAATACTTGCATAATAGTAATATCACACCACAACAAAAAATAGATGAACTTTGTCATGGATATACTGGTTTAGACCTTGAAGAACAATGGTTGTACCTCTCAAGAAGTGATCATTCTAACTGTTACAATATTCAGACAAATGATACAGTTAAGGCAACTTTCCAAGAATATCCATTTATTAAAAACTGTTTTACACCACAAACCAGTCTGACTGATATCATGAAAGAATCAGGAATTGATATTTATCCTTATGGAAGAGAGAAAATATGTGCTAAAGGTCTTGAAACACCATTACAGCATAAAAGGGCAGAGATATTTCTTTCCCAATTCAATAGATATAATGAAAATGCAGATTATTGTAGATACCCAGAATATGCTCATCCTAACAAGGCAAAGCTGAACAAATGTTCAAATTTTAGTGTCCAAGATGGTAAAAAATTAGCCAATGGCACACCTGAAACACCAGCTGTGGAAGCAGATGCCTATACGAAGTTGTTCCAAGTTAAACCAGCAAATCAGAAAAAAATGGAGGAGACAATACCTGACCAGCAGAATTTCGCATTTCCAAAAACTACACCACATCTGACAGAAAAACAGTTTGCAAAGGAAGCAGCATTCACTGCTGATTTTGGCTTAAAATCAGAATATGGACTAAAGCCTCACACAGCTTGTCCAGCTAATAGCGATTTTGCTAATGTCACTGAAAAGCAACAGTTTGCTAAGCCTGATCCTCTAAACTCTGAATATTTTAAATCAGTGAATTTATTCTCAAATTCAGCAACATCTTCAGGAGGTATCAGTTTAAACAGACCAACTTGGATGAATGTTCAAACAAAAAATAACCTTCCTATTCCTTATCGAAATCAAGGTAACTTGATGAAATTAAATAGTCATTTAAGTGCAGCTTCAAAAGGTTCTAACCATTCTTCAGATTTTCCCCAACTCTCATCTACAAATTTAACCTCAAATAGCAATTTATTTCAGAAGTATTGCCAAGAAAACCCTTCAGCATTTTCTAGTTTTGATTTTAGTTACAATGGTGCAGAAAGAATTCAATCTGTGAATCACATGGAAGGACTAACAAAAACTGGAGAAGACAATCTCTTTGAATCGGTTACAGAGAAAAAAATAAAGCAGCCGAATGGATTTTGTGATAGCTATTCAGCATCACAGTATGGGATAATAGAAAATGTAAACAAACATAATTTTCAAGCCAAGCCCCAGAGTGGACATTATGATCCTGAGGACATTCCAAAGCATTTTGATGGGCTACCTCAAAATACATACCAAGACCTGTTAGAGTCACAGGGTCATTTTAATAGCCACAGACAAGGAAGTGGAGACAGCACTATTAATAGCCGCGTGAATCGCACACAGGCCTCATGCTTTTCTAATAATTATATGATGGGAGATTTACGACATAATCAGGGGTTTCAACAACTTGGTTCAAATGGGTTTCCCCTAAGATCTACCCACCCATTTGGCCATTCAGTTGTTCCACTGTTGGATTCCTATGATTTGTTTTCTTATGATGACTTAAGCCATTTATATCCTTATTTTAATGATATGATGTATGGTGATAATTCCTTTTCTGGTTTTGTGCCAACTTTTGGATTTCAAAGACCAATTAAAACCCGTAGTGGACCAGCTAGTGAGCTTCATATTCGTCTAGAAGAGTGCTATGAGCAATGGAGAGCATTAGAAAAGGAGAGAAAAAAGGTAACATAGAATTACCCATTTAGAAGTAACAGTATGTTCTGTCTGCTTGTCTTTGTTTACTTTGTTTAGTTTAAGAGTGCTTATTTTATTATATTTTTTTGGTTTTATGAGACAGGGTTTTCTCTGTGTTGCTCTGTCTGTCCTGGTACTCAATCTGTAGACCAGGCTGGCCTTGAACTCAAGAGATCCGACTGCCTCTGCGTCCCCAGTTCTGTATTCCACCACAGCTGGCCTACAAGTACTTATTTCTAAGCTGGATTCTACTGTACTATACAGTATTTAAATTCATTGCTATAAGTACTTAACTAGGTTACTTAAAGACTGAAAGATCAGGGTTTTAAAACAGCTGTTATCTTCTCTTTTAAAATTAATTTTCTATGAGGTAAGATTTTCTTGCTTATTGGGTTACATGGAGTTTTTTGTATTAAACTGTTGGAAAGTATTAAAGTATAATTATTAGAAAAATTATAGCACTATAGTTTATATTTGTTGTCACTTTTCTTTTTCAGTTTTTCACTTTCTAAGTTAGCATGTAAATGTGGTTTATATTAGTTGCTTTTTGATACCAAAACAACTTATATTTAAAGGGAAAATTGTTCTATTTCTTAGAGCTGTGAAAAATACTATTCACAGGTGAATCATGTTTTTAAAATCTAGTCTCTAAAAATTATATTTCACAGACTGAATTAGCCCTTGCCAAGAATTATCCAGGAAAAAAAGTATCCAGTACTAATAATACTCCAATTCCAAGACTGACTTCCAACCCATCTAGAGTTGATCGATTAATTGTGGATGAACTTCGAGAACAAGCCAGAGTAAGCTGTAAAAACATCCAATAAAGGACTTTTACAAATTGCTTGATAAAAAATTTAAAGGATTTCAACAAGTTAGAGTCATGAAGGATTGTAATATCACATTTACAGCCAGGTATGATGGTATGTGTATGAAATCCCAGCGATTGGGAGGTAGACGCAGGAGGATCAAGAGTTTAAGGCCAGCCTCAGCTATATTAGTAAGTTTGAGAACAGCCTGGGCTTAAAACAAACAATCACAGTTAAATAATTTACATCTAGCTGAAAAAGTTCCTTCATGTGTATATTTGTGTGTGTTGGTACATATGGAGGCCACAAGCTGACAGTGGGCTCTTCCTCAATTGCTTTCTAAATAGATTTTGAAACAGGTCTCACTGAACCTAAAACTCACTGATTTTTCTAGGCTAGTTCACTAGCAAGACTTAGATATCCTCTTGTTTCCACTTGCTCAGCACTGGAATAACAGATGCACACCACTGTGTGTTTTGGAACATGGTGCTGAGGGCTTGAGCTCAGGTTCTCAGGCTTGCTCAGCTGGCACTTTCCTGACTGAGCCACCTTCCTGACACAGCTCAACACAGTCATGTTTGTTTCTACAACGATGATGAATATTAGGGAAAGACAAGAATAATTCCACTCTAGTCATTTAACTTGTAATCATTTAATAAGTAATTTGAGTGGGCCAGAGATGGTTGTCAATCACTGGTAGACGTATCTCTAACACGTGAAACCTTGAGTTCCATTCTCAATACCACAACATAACATCTTCATTAACTTAAAAATTCCTTTTCAAATCCACATTGGCAAAGAAACTAGAACAAACCCTTTCAGAAAGCACGCTTTTAAAAGCCAACACTTTAAAATTCTTTAAAAAAAAGCCTGAAAGATGGCCCAGTGGGTAAGGGTGCTTAATGCCAAGGCTGACAACCTAAGTTCAATCCCTTGAACCTACATGGTAGGTGGAAGGAGAGAACCATCTCCTGTAAGTTATCCTCTGATTTTCATATATAGGTCATATCTACACCAACATTCATACATACATACAAAAATAAATGTGTAGGAGCTGGAGAGATGACTCAGTAGTTAAGAGCATGTAGTGCTCTTGCAGAGGACTCACAGCATCCTCATCAGGCTGTACAACCACCTATAACTCCAGCAACAGTGCCCATTATGTCCTTCAAGGACCCCTCCATCACATGCACATTTTATAAAAGAAAAAACAAGGGGCTGGAGAGATGGCTCAGAGGTTAAGAGCATTTGGCTGTCCTTCCAGAGGTCCTGAGTGAGTGCAGGTCCCAGAAACCGCATAACCCTCAATAGTGAGATCTGGTGCCCTCTTCTGGCCTGCAGGCACACATGCAGGAGAACATTGTATAAGTAAATAAATTTAAAAAGAAAAAACAAAAATTTCGATATTTTCATAGTATATTTCACTGTAATTTCTTACCTGTCCATTACCTTCTCTTGTCCCCTTTTCAATTTGTCTCTCTGCTTTTGTAGTATTATATCTGGATTCCACATGATAAAAACATTAGCTATGTGTCTTTTTTACTTACCCTTATTTCCTTCTTGGCCCTTCCCTATTTATAAACATAATTTTTAGTTTTTACATAATTTTTTTTATTTTGTTAGTCTATTTATCCCTCAAGGATCTAACTGGTGTACAAAAGGAGGAAATAGTTTAACACTTGTTACAGATTAGTAATAATTAGTTCCCAGTGAGCATTGTTTTACTTGATATTCACATGTTGATTAATTAAAAAGTTCTTTAATGTACATTTAGATTTGAGACATATTAGACATATTAAATATACTCTCCATATTAGTTTAATATACCCAGTGACATTTTAGCTTTTCATGCGCATGGGAATATGGAGTACATGCATATGTATGTATGTATTTTACATCTGTGGGCACACTTGAGAGGGTACATGCATGTGTGTGCACACACCTGTACAGGCTAGATATTAGTATTGTTTTCCTTAGTCTCGCTCCACTGTTATATTAAAGCAGGGTCTCTCACTTGAACCCGCAGCTCACCAATTTGCCTAGTGTAGCTAGCCAGTTTGCCCAAGGGATCCTGTTTGCATCTAGAGCACTGGGATTACAGGAACCAAAATTTACCTGAGTGCTAGGGATTTGAACTCTGCTATTTGCACTTGTGTGGCAAGCACTTTATCCAGTAATCCATCTCCCCAGCCCTGGTACCCTTTTTAAAGCTCATTAACAAAAAGATAGGGAACTTTCTTGGCACTGGAAATAAAATAGCTCAGTTGATAGAATGCTTGTCCAAGCACACACAATGCCCTAGCACCAGATAAGCCAGGTGTGGTGGTGTACACCTGTAATCCTAGCACTAAAATCACTATTGATTTTCATTTGCAGTTTTGGCAATTTAATACTTTATATCATATCAATGTAAATTTAAATCTGTACTATCTATTATGGATGCCTTAGAACTAACAGATATGGTTAGAGAGATGGCTCAGAGGTTAAGAGTGCTTCATGTTCTTTCAAAGAACATGAATTTGGTTCTCAGTACCCACAGTGGGCTACAGAACTGCCTTTGACTTAGCTTCAGAGGCTCTCATATCCTCTTCTGGCTTCTTCGGGTACACACATACACACACACACACACACACACACACACACACACACACACACACACATACACACATGTGCGCGCGCACACAAACCTCTCAGGGGAAAAACTGTTAGTTTGAATGATCTGTTTCTAATTTCCAAAATAGTTCATGTCTTTTTCCTCCCCCTTTTTTTTGAGACAGGGTTTTACTATGTAACTCTGGCTGGTCTAGAAATTGCTATGTGGACCAGGTCTCGAACTCACAGATAACAACCTGCCTCTGTCTCTCAGGTGCTAGAATTATATCATGCCCAGATATACTTGTCCCTGTAACAAGATATAATTGTTCTTTAGGTGATTCTTATTAACAGTACTCTCTCTATTTATGGGCTACTTGCCAAAAAACAATATCAGATCTTATTACTAGTATCATTGTGTTTGAATATTTGATTTTTTTTCATTATTATTCTCAGTAATCAACGAAAACTTTCAGATTTAAAGACTTTTCATTTTTCTTTCCTCTAGCATAGTGCTAGGACACAGTAAGCATTTCTTTATTGAATGATTATTGTTGCTCTCATTTCTACTATGTTTCACTAAAGACTTGTTTGCCTTATCAAAGTTTAAATGTTTTCCTCAGGTTGTGACTTTACTAGGCAAAATGGAACGTCTTCGAAGCTCTCCCCTTCATGCTAATATCTCTACTGCTCTTGATAGACACTTGGAGTCAATTCACATTGTACAGTCACGAAGAAAGGATGAAATTGTTAATGCTTCCAATCGGCAAAGACAAGGAGTGCCTAGGTGCCAAGATGACAGAGGTACAAATATTAATGAAAACTCCTTAAATAAAGCAGTATAATAATTTGAGTAGTAATAAAATCAGATTTTTTAGGTTAAAAGATTGAATTTCTAAAATTAACACTTATCTGAAGAACAAACTAGTAAAGGATCACCACACTATTCCCAAAGTTATCCTCTTCTGTTAATTTTACGAATTTAGTTTATATAATACCTGTTTAAGGTATAGCCTCCTTTACCTAAGCACAATTACAGATCAAAGATAAAGTAACAATATGTTTAACTATTATAAAAAAACAAAGTATTTCATTATCTTTGCCATCACCATTTTTGTAAAAATAATGTTTGATCACTTAGTAGCAACAGTACTGAGCTTAAGATATAAGGGGTATTTAAGTGAATAATTAAAACATAACCCTATTTATTTTACAGATGTTTTTGCTCTTGCTACAGCAATTAAAGAGATGTGTGTAGCTACTCGAAAAGCACGCACTACCCTATGGTGTGCACTGCAGATGACCTTGCCAAAAACAGCAAGTACAGCAGGCCAAGCTGACATGGAAAAGGCTTTCCAAGATATAGTAAACTGTGAAGATAAAGTCCATGAAAGCATAAATAGTAGCAATCCAATGAACCAGAGAGGTGAAACAAGTAAACATTAAGGAAATGCCAGCAGAAGGAAGAGTTAAAAAGCTGATAAGTCAATGTATCAAGATGTGCTAAAATTTTTAATGAACTTGTCAAACTTTCAGTACATTAATTTTCTTTCAGATTTAAAGTTAATACTTCAATGAAGTCTAACTTCTATTTAAAAATCTGCTTGGAATGAATCAGATACAGTTTAAAGTGAACTCAAAGGTAAAGTTGATTATTCTAGGAGTTCTGAGTAGTCAAAGATAGCAAATTTATTTAATTAAATATCCCCTTACAGCTAAAAATTGCTTAAATCCATTCTTCAGTGCAGGTAAATGCAAATGTGAAATTCTTCTAGGAGATAAGTTTCATTTAGTTCTGCCTTAGTAAGTATAATTCCAAATAATGAGTCTAAGTGACTGTAACCCAATTATGGCTACAGTTTAGTAACCAAGACAAGTTTTGATTGTGATTTAAAAGTATTTTCCTTACAAAACTGGATAATACCTAGGAAACAAAGGAAAACAGGGATAAACCCGGTATTCATGTAAAAATTTAATATTTAAAATACTACCATATTTATAAATTTGAAATTTTAGTGCCTAAGTATATGGAGGGAAATGCATCTGATTCTCCTAAATTAGTGATAAAAGTGCCAGTGTGGAAACCATGCAAGTTACTGAATATAAAACCTGTTCAAATCATTAGTGTACATTCTTTAAATTTTAATTATACTATCAATTATTAAATATTTCCAATTTTAAAGTATTTAATTGAATCAAAATAAAACATTCCTTTATCTGGATCTTTTAGACTTGATGCCTAGTAACTAAAATAATGACTCTTGTTTTAATACCCTTAGTTTGCTGTCTTTAATGAGGGTATCACGAAGTTCTAAAATGTATTTTTTCAGGTTAATCTTTAACTAGTTTAGTTTTGCAATTAGTTAGTGTACATTTTGTGTAGTTATGTTCATTTGTTTGCTTCTGTATTTTTTAGAAGAACACTTGAAAGCTTGGCTTTTTCTGTTTCTCATCACTTAATATTAGAACCCAAATAATTTATTCATTAATATGAAATGTTGGTATTATGTGACTCAGAAGATCTTGGGTTTTAAAGTTTCTAGCATGAGTTAAACTATAATATAATGTACTGATGAAATTTAATTGAAATATCCTTGACTAGAAACACTGATGTTTTTGATGTTAGTGTTTTTTCTTAGCTTTAGAAATCCTGGCATTAAAAAAAAAGAGTGTAATCACACCACGTAAATTTTCTTTAGATGATGTGCGGAAGAAACTGATTGAGAATGCAGGAGTAACTGTAGGGAGAAACATTTTGATCACTGATATGCTTTAGAACTACCAAATGAATTACATTGAGGGTAGTCAAATAAAATAGACCACCCCACCACAGTCACTGCATAGAAAGTGGTTAAGTTTGACATAAAACATGTTGAATGTTATGAAAACAAATATTGTACTGAATTTAGCCTCTCAGGAAAAATAAATTACTTTGTTGAAAATATTTGGTTTCATTTTTTACCTTTGTGTTAATTTTTAACATTGTATATATGTCTGAAAACACATGAACTTCATTTAGTTGGTAAGAGGCTTTCTGGCTTAAATTTCATTATTAACACAAAAGAAGGGGCTGGAGAGATGGCTCAGAGGTTAAGAGTACTAGAACTGGCTGTTCTCCAAAGGTCCTGGGTTCAAATCCCAGCAACCATATGGTGGATCATAATCATCTATAATGAGATCTGGTGCCCTCTTCTGGCGTGCCCAGGGACAGATGCAGGCAGAATACTGTATAAATAATAAATCTTAACAACAATATAAAGTAGATGATTGTGATTCAGATAAACCTAGCTCTCCCCTGACCTTCAAAGATGAAACTTTGCCTTGCAGAATAGAAACTCTGGGGAGACCTTTATAGGACCATGGTTACAAGTAAAAACAGTCTGTTGAGGAAGACCAAACCTTGGACTAGGGATATAGCTCAACTGAGTGAATGCTTAAGTATTCAGGAGACCCTGGGCTGCTCCTGGGCACTGTATAAAACCATGTGCGGTGAGTGCTTGTAATCCCAAAATTAGGGGGAGTGAGAGCAGGAGGATCTGAAAGTCAAAGCTGTTTTTAGGGCTAGCCTGGAATACAAGATGAAACAGAGACTGACTTAGCACTTGGGATTTTGGGAGGTGGAGGCTCTGGTATAGATGGTTCTTTCCTTTTAGTTCTTTAGCTGTCCTGGAGCTAGTGGGCCTTAGGCTTGCAGTGATCCTACTGCCCCTGCCTCCCCAGCACCGAGACTATAGGCGAGTACCACTACACGGTGCTAGGTGGTTCTCACATCTAAATTGCGTTACAAAAATATTTAATGTTTATCACAAAATCTGCAATGAAGCTGGGTGTGGTAGCACATGCCTTTAATCCCAGCGCTTGGAGGCAGAGCTACACGGAGAAAACCAAATAAAAAAATTTTTAGTTCTTAAAAGAGATTTACTTATGTATACAGTGTTCTGCCTGCATGCATGCCTGCATGCCAGAAGAGGGCACCATATCTCATTATAGGCAGTTACAAGCCACCATGTGGGGCCTGGAAGAACAGCCAACTGAACCATCTCTCAGCCCTAATGTTTAGATTTAAAAAAAAGTGCAAGAACATTTTGCTAACATTTTGTGCACCCATCTCTCCATTCTTATAAATTAAAAACTTAAATCTAGAAGGCACAATGGTTTAAAACCTGCCCTCTCACATTTTAGGCTTAAAAAATTAATTAGTATGTTAAGTGAATAATGTTACCAAAGCCTAATGAGCTGATTGTTCTCAGTTGAGCATTAGTTGGGTGTACACTATAATATATAGGGTCCCCGAAGGAAGAATTGACTGTTAACTAGGTGTGCTGACACACGCCTACAATCTCTGCAGTTGGGAGGCTGAAGCAGGAAGATCAGGAATTCAAGGGAAGCCTAGGTTAACAAGCAAGGTGGAGGCAGCCTGAGCTATGCAAGATTCTGTCTCAAAAAACAAAATAAAACAAAAAAAATCACCAGCAAGTGGAAAGAACAAGACAGAAGAGAGTGACTTAAATAAAATTTATTTAAAAAGAAAGAAAAAGGTGGTTATTTTTGCAATGTCAGGTTGTAGGACAAAGAGGTAGCATATCTCCTCTCCTTAACCATGTTTTGTTTTCTTCTGCACAAAGGTAGCTAATGATACAAAAACATGTCAACAAACTTGCTCCAAATACAAGTAAATATTAGGTTTTATAGGCCACATATGGTCTCAATCATGAATGTCTTTCTTTTATAACCTTTTAAAAATGTAAAAAAAAATTTTTGTTGTTTAGTTTGCCCCATACAAAATATCACTAGGCCAAACTTGGCCTGTGAGTGGTATCTTCTGACCCCTGGTATAAAATAATCTAGTCAGAGAAATTGTTCTCTTGAGGCTTTTAACAGCTTTTGCCCAAAGTCAAGTAAAGGACTTTATTTACAACTAGATGTGGCTGTGACAGCAGAACTGAGAATTTCTGTTCACCCTTCACTCATCAGTTTTTTCATTCACTCATTTCATAAATTTGTTAACCACCAACTATATATACTTTTAAGTATCTGTATTAGCAAAATTTCCATTGTTTTGTAATTCCCTCAGTTTCCCTAAACGGGGAATTATTAGGTCTTAATGCTCATGTTGCAGGTATGTCCAACCTGTGGTCAAGCACAGCTGTAAATTTGGCCTAACACAAAATCAGAAATTTACTTTAAAAACATCATTTTTTGCAAGGTTTTTAAAAAGTCATGTCACAATGTTAAAAGGTTTTTACATGCCTTCAGGATAAATCAAGATTAAAATCAAGAGGGGATTCAAGGGAAGTCATGACTACAAAAAAATGAATCTAGCTAACAATGATATATCCAAACTGACACATCCTTCTTGAAGTCACAGACTACATGAAAAATTCGTAGCTCTCTTAAAAAGTAACAAGTATCTTAAAAAGATACTTGTTTCTCTCATAGCTTAAGTTTTTCTTCCATACTGGGGATCAGTCCCAGGGCCTTGTATATGCTAAGCAGGCATTCAACACAACTACAGCCTGAGCCTAAGTTGTCACATTTAAAAAAAAAAAAATCTTAGATCTATATCACACTCCAAATAATTTCTTCCACGTCCCTAATTTGATGACTTATAAAATCTGGATCTAGGTAGGACTCATTAGCCATTTCAGCCATAAAATAATATTATTACAAGCCAGATGGGGCGCTTTATGCCCCCAAATCCTAAGGCTGAAAAGCTGAGGCAAGGACGCTGCAACAAGTTCAAGGCCAGCCTGGACTATAGATTGAAACCCTGTCTTAAAAACAAAAACCCACAATATTTTGAGGCAAATAATTGCCTCAAAAGCAATTTGCTTTTTTTTTTTTTTTTTTAACTCTCAGAAGGAATGGTCATTTTTCCTTCAGGATGTTAGCTTTCTGAATCTGGCTAATTATACAAAGTGAGGGAAGACTTTTTTTTAAAAACAAGCCAGAAGAGCACAGGATTTCAGTACTAAGATAGGTTACCCTAATTCCAGATCTTTGGTAAAGATAGTATAATTGATTGCCCACACCACCAAAACATGACACATTTTGTAGCGACAAGTGATATGGATCTTCCTTTTGAAAATGTAAACAAAGGGGGAAAGCCTTAGGGAAATTTGGAGAATTAGTTTCAGTTCTCTTAAATACACAGACACACAATTCCTGGGTGGAAGGGGCAGAATGGGTCAAGGTTATCGCTTGCGTTCCCCTCTCTGTGTCCTTTTCTTTTCCTTCTCCTTGCGCTCCTGCTTGGCTAGTTTGTCCTTCTCCCTCTGCAGTTTGTCCTGTTCCTTCTTCCTCTGGGACTCATCCCGAAGTGAGTCTCGCTCCAATTTCCGAGCATTGAGAACATCTTCCACATTGGTGTTTCGGAACAAGGCTACCAGTGAGTTAAGGAATTCAGGTACAAGTCCCACAGGTAATAATCCTACGCTTTCCTCAGTCTGGATGGCCATTCTCTAAATGCACTCTAGCTATCCCTAGTGTAGAAAAGGAATCTTTGGTTTGGGCTAGAGAGATGGCTCAGTGGTCACTTGTCTTGCAGAGGACCTGGGTTCAGACAGTGGCTCATTCCTACGCACAACTCCAGTTCCAGGGGATCCAGTGCCCTCTTCTGGCTTCTGTGGACATCAGACATTAGGCTCACATATGCATATATGCAGGCAAAACACGAAATAAGTTTAACAAAAGTTAGAAAAGAGCCAAAAATTTTATTCCTTATTTGTTTTAATATAAAAATATGGGGCTAGAGAGATGGGTCAGCAGTTGAGAGCACTGGCTGCTCATCCAGAGGACCCGGGTTCTAGTCTCAGAACCTACGTGGTAGTTCACAAGTATCTGTAAGTCCAGTTTCAATTGATCTGATGCCCTCTTCTGGTCTCTTAGAGCATCATGCACACACATACATGTAGGCAAAACTTTAAAAAATTAATGTTAAAAAAAAATGTACCAGGCAATCTCCTCTGTACTCTAAAAATGTGACCTTTTCCTACTTTAGGCTGTAAAATGAGTCTCAGGCTGAGAAGAGAGCTGAGCAGCAGAGCACTTGCCTGAGCACGCACAAGGCCTTGGGGTCAATCCCTCACACCACAAGTGAATTCCTGAGATAATCACTGATAACCCACTGTAACCTCTCACCTCAGAGGTGAGTTTCTAAATGTACCTTCTTCAGAGTGAGGTGTTAGTGGGACCTTCTTCCTCAAAACATATTTCAATACTTTGTATTTTCAACTTCAGTCTGTTTGCTTTCCAATTACAGGTTTTTTTGTTTTGTTTTGTTTAGAATAAAGATAAACTTTAACATTTAAAATTTTCCCCTCAGTTCTGGGTAACTCAAGAGCTCCAGGAAATATAACATTTTCTTTTCTCTTGGATATCCTTCTAGTGAGTATGCTCATACCTTACAGGAGGTGAAGGCAACTCAAGGATAGCTTCCGATATATCTAGGTTTTTTGTTTGTTTGTTTGTTTGAGTTTAGCTTGGGATAAAAGAGACTCTTTAAAAAAAAAAAAAACAGGTGAAGCTGGCTGTGGTGTGCACACACCTTTAATCTGAGCACTCAGGGAGGTAGAGGCATGATGATCTCTGAGAGTTCATGGCCAGTCAGTTCCACACATGAAGTTCTAAGACAGCCAGAACTCCCAGAGAGACTGTCTCAAAAACAAAACAAAAAAAACCTGACAATAAAAACCCAACAAGAAGCCAGGTGTAGTAGTGCTTCCTTTGCTCACAGCACTCTCCTGGACAGAGGCAGACAGCACTCTGAATTCTATGGCCTGCTGGTCAAAGTTCCAGGCTAGCCATGTAACTGCCTAGTAAGACCCCGTCTCTAATAATAATAATAATAAACCAAAACCCACTTCCTCTGTTAGGTGTGGGCTTGCTTTTGTTCACAGCACTCGGAGGTGGAGGCAGAGATCGGGAGTTCGGTCATCCTGCCATGCTATTAACTTGGTTTTGGTTTTTAGTTGTTTTGTTTTTTTGGTGGGGGGAGGGGTGGAAGGGAATAGTGTTTGCAAAGTTGACTATCTAGGACTATGTTGGGCATGAGGCTCCCAATACTGGCATGATGACTTCCTTGGAAATAGAGGAAGCCTGTAGCAGTGACAGCAAAATGACACCTGTCTCCGGAAGAGTTCTGTGGAAAAATACAAGGGATGGACAAAGAGAAGGATACATTTGTCAGAACCGGTGTTTGTTGTTGAAGAGCCTGAATCATCTTTCTCATCTGCTTCAGTGAGTGACGTTAAGGAAAACCAGGTGGAACACATCTCAAATTGACTAAAAAAAAACGTTTACTCAACATGGGTAAGAAAAGCAGGCTGAATGCTGTGAGGACAAGGTAACAGGTGTAAGTCTCAGAGACTCATTTCTGAAAATCTTAACAAAGGGGAAATGTCTCAAGCTTCTATAAGGTCCACTCTTAGAGGCTAAAAAGAGGGTCAGGCGGTCTGGAAAAGACCTCCACTTTAACATTAACTAAAGCTGGGGGCAAGACACTCTGAAACAGCAAGGCTCCCACCAGTACTCAGGAGATGCAGGCAGGGAGATCAGGAGTTCAAGGCCAGTCATTCTCATAGCAAGTTCAAAGCCACCTGGGCTGTGTGAGAATACACAGATACACAATGTAATTCTCAGACAATCCAGGAACTTACAAAAAGTCCACATCCATGAGTTCTATCTTGAGCCTACTTTTATAGCAGAAACTCAGGAAAAGCCCAGAAATCTGTGTGGTTTTTTGTTTGTTCAGTTTTTCAAAACAGCGTTTCTCTATGTTATATAGAGCCTGGTTATCCTGGGCTCACTCTGTAGACCAGGCTGGCCTTGAACTCAGAGATCCACCTGCCTCTGCCTCCCAAGTACTGGGACTAACGGTGTGTGCCACCACAACCAGCTGAAATCTGTATTTTAACCTCAGAACTTTAAAAGCTCTTTGTGGAAGCCAGGTGTGGCTATTCATACTTTTAATCTTGGTGATGGAAGGTGGATCTCTGAGTTTGAGGCTAGCCTGATCTACTATAAGACTCTTATAGTATGATACAATCCTATGTATAAAAGTATCCATGAAGGTTCATCTTGACTGTCAGCTCGTTGGGATTTAGAATCATCATGAACACAAACCTCTGGGATGTCTGTGTGGGAGGTTCTAGATGGGTTAAGTCTGAATGTGGGAGGAACCTTTCCTTCGGCTGCATCCTGGACTGAATAACTAGGAAAGGCAAGTTGGCAGCAGCACTGATTTCTCTCTGCCTCCTGATGGTGGATGCAGCGTGACCAGCCACCTGCTCTGCCACCATGCTTTCCCTGCCATGATGGAGGGTATCAGTTCAAACTGTATGCCAAAGCAAGAACAGTGTGACACAAAAGCAAGGGATCACAGCACCTCCTTATTCTAGAAATAATATCAACAGTCCATTAAAGGCATTGTTTTACACTGAAGCTTTCTGGAGTATACCAACCATGTGTTGAAGATGTAAGTCTCATCATTTCTTAAGCCCACAGAGACCCATGATCACTGCCATTTTGAAAGAGAAAGCTAGGTTAGAGAGGGGGGTTAGAACTTCTCAGGGCTTATGCACACTGTCCAGCACTCCTAGCATGAGCCTCAGGAAGTAGAGCTGAGCCTCCAAAAAGGATATTCCTCTTCGTCCGTCACATCGGCATACTGGGCCAGCAGGGCGGCTTTCCTCTGCCTCTCTTCTTCTGAAACCACCCGGGGCTTCACCACGATCTGGGCCTGCTTCTCAATCAAGGTGGTGATGGCCTGCACCTCATCTGCCAGGCGGAGACAGGGAGAGCGTGTGTGTAAAACAAAGCTCCACTAGCCCACCGCCTCAGTGTTGGCACTAACCACTCGCATCTGTTGGTGCCTGAAAGCTGAGGGCTTGGGTCACCCAGACAAGGAAAAGCTGTGCTGGGCTTTAGGCCTTTTTAAAAAAAAAAAAAAAAATGTTTACATTATATTTCATTATTTGGACGGGGAAGGGTGCACTGAAGTCTACAGGACAACTGTGAGAAGTCAGTTCTCTCCTTTATGGGGTTCCAGGGATGCAACTTGGGACACCAGGCTTGAGCAGCTTGTTGAGCCATCTTGCCTGCCCTGGAGGGCTAGAGACAGCTCAGTGGTTAGGAAGAGTACATACTATTCTTGAAAAGGACTTGTATTTAGTTCCCAGCCACCTGTACCTGCAGGTGTAACTGTAAGTCATACGCACACACCAGCACACAGACAAACAGACACAGTAAGAATTTAAAAAAAAATGTTAAAAACCAGCTTTTAATTCCAGCAAACCAAAAGAAAACACCAATAGCTGGGTCCCCAACCAAGTAAATCACACGATTATACTATGTACTCAAGACTGGAGACAAAGAGTGTATAATCCAAGTTAGATTCTTTACAAGCCGGGCTTCCGTGTTTTGAGTTCTCTTCCGCTAATTAACCATACTAATGAACATATGAGCCCATTCCTCTTTCGTTTTCAAGGGTAAAGGATTCAGCCAAATGTAGCAGCACCTCAACTCTAACTTATGGTCTGCACTGAGAATATGACAGTGGTGGATAGGCCAGCGACGCGGCTCAGTGGGTGAGGGCTCCTGCCTTGAAGACTTGACAGCCTGAGTTCAGAAGACTACAGCCGGCTTTACAGAAGTGATGCAAATCTACCAGGGCCATAGGACGGGGGAAAAGTAAAGACCGAAACGGTGCAGGAACGGCGCTGCAACACCGGCAGCCCTTAGCAGGCTGAGGCTAGAGGTTCAGGAATTCAAGGCAAGCAGGGGCTACATAAAGAGTTCCCGGCAAGCCTCTGCTGTCCAAAGAGACTTTGTTTCAAAACAAAAACCAAGAAAACAAAGAAATACACACCCACACCACAGGGAAGATGGCAGTGGTTGGAGCCACTGGAAAAACACCAAAGGAAAAAGGGGATTCCATAGTCCTTAAAGCTTTGAAGTCAGCCTCTGGGTATTTGCTGATGCCGATTATCTTAGAAGAGCGAAACTCCTCAACAGCTGTACAGGAAAAGGCCCTGGAGGTTGGACCAAGGTCACTGAGACCAACCTGCGTAGAGGCACTCTAGCATCCCTGACCTGACCTGAATTTGACCCTATGGCCCACAAGGTGCAACTCAGATTTAAATCCTGAAAGTTCTTCTGACCCTCATTCGCTTCACACGCATGTGTGCGCACGCGCGCGCACACACACACACACACACACACACACACAGGATTTTGTTTTTTAAAGGCAACTCTACCTTCTTTTTTTACTTCAGTGCTGACATTCCGAGTTTCTGACCATCGTTCTACAATTTCCTTACAGATATCAAGAAGAGACTCTTCTTCCTAGTTGGAAAAGCATGCCAGTTAGTTCCCTTAAAAGTCCTCAAAAACAACAGCAACCTGAGAAAGGCGTTGGCAGGACACCGCTGTCCCCACTGGAGAAGAGGAGAAACCGAAGGCCTCAGGCCACAGAAGAAAGGGCACACAGAAATAACCCGAGTGCCCCAGAGCCCACACCTGCCTCCTTCCTTCTTCATTATTTAAAGACTTGAAACATTGTATCTATTGTCTACTCTTAGGATACAATATACTGTGTTTAGTTTCTTGCTTGGTGTGCCATGTGTGGTGTGTGTATGTATGCACATTATGGCAGGCCTGGAGAGTAAGGGACAACTGTGGGGGTTGGTTCCTGCCTTCCCCCATGTGGGGATTCACACTTACAAGGGACACACTTGGCAGAAAGCACCTTTGCCTGCGAACCAGCCACTGGCCTGATACTACGGACATACCGTGGAATGGTTACGTCAATCTAATTTTTTCTCTATTTCACTACTTACCAGTTTCTTGTGGGAGAACACTTAAAATCTACGTCCTTGAGGCACACAACATATTATTACATTGTTATTCGTGAAGCTTCCATTCCATGTTACAGATTGCTGAAGTGTCTCCCCCTTTTCCCTAAATCAAAACTCTCCCCTTGTGCAGCGCCACCTGCAATCCCAGCACTCTGGGAGGCAGAGGCAGGTGGATCTCTGTGAGTTCGAGGCCAGCCTGGTCTACAAAGTTAGTCCAGGACAGCCCAGGTTAGCCATGAACTCTTGGTCCATCTTCCAAATGCTGGGATTAAAGGCTTGCAGCATTACACCCACAGTGTTTTGTTGGTGTTGGTAAAGAGTTGCACTCTGTAGCCCAGGCTGGCCTTGATTTTGCAGCAAATCTCTTGCCTTTGCCTCCCAAGTGCTGGGCTAGCTAACATGCTATACCATTTCCAGGCCAGCTCTAAACAATTACACACTATCTCCCACAGAAACGTGAGAGTCAAATCACAAACTCACTTTCTATTAGCAAGAAATTTCTTCTCCCGCCCTTCATCCTTTCAGCATACACAACTTCGATCCAACAACACGCACCCCAACAAGAGGAAGAGAAGGCAAATCCCAGGCTCCTCACTGAAACCAAAGTGGCCCATGCATGACTTCATTTCAGTGCCCCATTAGTGTCTGCCATGTTCAAGGCACAAGGAGAGAGCTAAGAGTCACTGAAAAGCAGTACTCGCCTTCATGACACTAAATATTTGTAATGTTGGCATATAAACAGCTACCATAAACATGATGCCTTGATTATCCTACCAGAAACTGCAACCCATCCCTGCACACCTGGCCATTTATCGATGCCCCTTTATCAAAGCTAGATCTGAGTCACCTCACTGGCCTGCTACTGTGTTTATACTGTGGGATTATTAAATCAGTCTTAGACTTCACTAATTATAGAACTAACATGTGGCGGTAAAGGCTCTTCTTTCTAAAACAGCACTCCCCGATGGCAGGGCTTGCTGTCTATTTTGTTCCTTCATGTACTTCAAGCAGTGTAAAGGAGAAAGTAATCCTAACAGTTAAAAAAACAAAACAAAAACCCTATAATCCCAGCATTCAGGGAGGCAGAGGCCAGCCTGTTCTACAAAGTCAGTCCAGAACAGCCAAGACTACATAGAGAAACCCTGTCTCAAAAAACCAAAACCAAAAAAAAAACCCACATGATCCTGTGCAAGGACGCTGGAGAGAAAGAAGGGAAGTGAGGCGAAGCTTTCGTTTACTCTGGATCGTATACTACCTTGAATCTCACCGCAAATTCCGGCTAACCAACTTCACAGTCCCTAACAGTGACCCCATTTCGCTTCTCCAGGAATGAGATTTTCTCCCAAAGTCAGCTGTGAAGCATGTACTGACTATGGACCACACTCCTTGACCCTTTTTCTCTGCAGAGACGGTCTCGGCTGCTCCAACAACAGGGCTCCTGCCTCACTTACGATTCCTGGCCTTTCTTGCCCAAAATAGTTTGCATATAAACGGGGCTTCAGAAAACAACGAGAAAAATTAAACATGATATGTGAATTTGACAAAGGGAGGCAGAAACTCACCCTTAAAATGACTTCGTCTTCTGCAGTTTATGCAAGAGCCAGGGAAGCAAATATGTTTCTTGATAATTTTGCCTCTTCTACCAAGAGTCTAGAAGGAGCGCTTGGTTCTCTTTATCAAGACAGAGGCTGACATAGAAAGCACTCAGTATCAAACTCAACTTCTTCCTGGAGCCCCTAGGAACCTCACAGCTACAAATAAAAGCCCACAGTCCTTGCCTTCTCTCCTTTCTTCAGGGTCGAAGAAAAGAATTTGTTGTGCTGTATTCCCACTGCACCTCCAAGCTGCCTCACAAACTCTCTTCGCTCTTTTCCATTTATAGACCAATGGGTTCTTGCCGGTGGGATCGGGGACAGCCACACCAGTGTTGGATTTCCAGCCTGTTCTCAGTCGATGAACTCAACTTTGGGGCGCCTGTCTCTAGTCTGTGCCGCATACCCAAAACGACTTTTGAATTTGGAAAAACAAACAAACAAACAAACAAACAAACATAATCTCTTCCTTCTATCTCTTTACCTCGAGGATGTACATGAGTATTTATATCGATGCTCACCTTACTTTTGATTCTCCTTACTAGTCCCTGAATACTGACTTTAAGGACATTAGATAATCGCATTCTCCAAACCTGCTCGTTGTGATAGCCATCAAAGAACAAAGTCCTTGAAGGGCCGATGACTCTCATGGAAGCAGTTTGGTTTTTAGGAGCTCCCCTACCCCATGTATGAGGATAGCAGTTTCTAGGGTATTTGGTGAAGATGCAGCAAACTTTACTTCCGATCTGATTGTATTTATTCGTTTATTAGATTTTCATGTATCTTATTTTATGTATATGGGTGTTTTGGCTGCATGCATGTCTGTGCTCTGCATGCATGCCTGTTACCCATGGAGGTCAGAACAGGTTGTTCAATCCCCTGAAAGTAGAATTACAGATAGTTGTGAGCCACCGTACGGGGGCTGGGAAGGGAACCCAGGTACTCTCTAAGAGCAACAAGTGCTCTTAACCACTGAGCCATTTCTCCAGCCCCCAAATCGATTGTATTAAAAGGAAAGACTCTCCAGGCAGTGGTGTGGTGGTGCACGCCTTTAATCAGGAGGCAGAGGCAGGAGGATGTGAGTTCAAGGCCAGCCTGGTCTACAGCCAGGACAGAAAGGACTACACAGAGAAACCCTGCCAAAAAGAAAAAGAAGGAAGGAAGGAAAGAAAGAAAGAAAGAAGGAAAACTCTACAAGACTGTCACAGACAACAGATATAGGGAATCTATGTCTCTAATCTAGCTGGGAGTGGGACAAGGATTGATGAACTCCACACTAATGATTCCCTAGGAAAGTGATTTCCTAATGATTCATTAGGAAAGTGGCCATCTTGGTCACCTGATGGTGACCTCAAACACAACCTCAAACTACAAATGTCTGAATTAATGAATCTGCCTGTTTTGTTTTGCTGGGGTCTTGTTCTGTAGGCCCAAAGTTGACCGCCTACGGCTGTCCCCCCCCCCCCCCCCAGCGCTGGGATTACAGGCATGCCGCACTGCACACGGGTGACGAATCTGCGTCCTGAAACTCACGGGGTAGACCACAAAGATCCACCTGCTCCTGCCCCCTGAGAGCCGGAATGAAAGGCATAATGCCCACCCCACGAATCTGCTTCTTTTTTGTTTTCTGAGACAGGGTTTCTCTGTGTAGACCTGGCTGTTATGGAACTAGCTCTGGAGACCAGGCTGGACTCGCACTCACAGAGATCCGCCTGCCTCTGCCTCGCCCCCACCCCCACCCCCGTGCTGGGATTAAAAGTGTGCTCCACCACTCCAAGCGAATACCTTTACCTTATCAATCTGTCTCCTCACACCGCCCCACCCAACACACATCGATCATCACTGAATTTCCAAACGCTGCTTACCATAAACTAAATAAAATAACTCCATTACCAGCTTACCTATTGGGGACTCTTATTACTGAAATAGGAGCAAAGAGAGAACTTCCTACAGGCTTTAGTCATGGAACGGGACAGCCTGGAGACTTCCCCCTGATGGGCAAACACCTCATGAACATTTTATCCCCCTCTCTGAACACAGCAAACTGACGGGAATGGAACTATTGGACGTTTACGATCAAACTGCCATTAACACATCTCAGTGGCTTCAGAACACTCCCAGCCACATCCAAAGGCACCCCAGGGAGCCTCGTTACGAGGAACACGAGAATCCCAGCCTCTCTCTGTACCTGCAACGTTCAGGCTTCCCCAAATCTGGCTGGGGAGCAGCAACCCACTTCTCCCACGAGTAGGCTTCTTCCCGGTGAAAGCACCAAAGCCTTCGTGACAGCAGCAGCAGAAGAGAGACGCGAAGCGAGCGACAGGGGTTCTCCGCGAGGCTGGCGGAATGCGTCCGGACTACTCTACTCACCAGGAAAGCAGACAGGATGCCCTGCAGGGCGTCCAGCTTCTCCTCCTCCTCCTCCTCCTGCAGGACACCCAGGATGTAAGCGGCGTAAACGGCTCGGTCCACCCCCAGCGCCTCCAGCCGTGTGTCCAGCCAGGATCCAAAACCCCCGCCATCGCCCTCCCCGAGGACCGCCGCGGCCACTTCGCTGGGCGCCGCCATGCTGGGGACAGCGGTCCTGCCGGACCGAGAGCGCCTACCGCAGTGCCTGACGGGCCGCGCCACTGGCCCAGCGCGCATGCCCGGAGACGGAGCCTCCACCCCCGCGCGCCGGGCCGGAGGACGAGGCTCGCCGAGCCTTCTCGGCGTCTCCGCAGCAGGCGCCCCCCGCTGTACGCGCGGGCCCCCCAGGACTCCGAGTTTCCACACCGACCCCCTGAGCCACCTCTCCTGCCCCAGTCTCCCTCTCTTCTAATGGAGCGTGCAAACAGCTCCTCGCTGGGCTGTGGGCACGATGCTTGCCTGGCGATTCCCAGCACGCACGTGGCAGCTTACAAATGTCTTTTACTTCACTTCCCAATCTCCAGGGCATCGGGCCACCCCTCCCGCGGACCACGTGCAGGCAAGAGGGCACAGAAGTCTACCAGCGGAATCGCCAACGCTTGCTGCAGAGTACCAGCTCTGGCCTGAAATGCATTACTTCGGTGTACGATACCCAAACTCCAGAGGAGGCAGCCGTGCGGGGGGGGGGGGGGGAGGCCTCAGTCCAATCGCTTCCTACACCGGATCCTTGCTGAATACGTTCGCCATCCCATTGTTACAAGACTGAAAACTCAAAAGATGAGTGTCACAAAAATCTCCCTTCTCAAAGGACCAGCAGTCCAAAGGGAGCAGGTATTTAAAGAAATAATAAGAATAATGACAAGTTGGTGACCTAACTCTACGTGTGGGTGTTTTGCCTGCAATATGTGTTGGCATTCCGTTTGTGCCTGATGCCCTTGGGGGAGGCACATCCCTGAACCAGAGGTTTGTGATCCAGAGCGCTGGAAATCAAAGCCGGTGCTCTTAGCCTAGCTGAGCCATCTCCCCAGACCAGAGATAAATGGGTGGTCGGGTGGCGTAGTGGTATTAGACAGGGTCTTGCTATGTGACTTGCCCGGGCCTCCATCTGTTTCTTTGCTTCCACCGTGTAGACCTCCACTCCCTGTCTCCCGAGTACTGAGATCATAGACCACCCTCATTCAGCCAAGCATTTGGTGAAGGTTGTGACAGGGTCCCTAAGCCGTCAGGTTACTCTTGCCTGTTGAAGTGTGTTGGGAGCTGGAAATCCAGGAATACTTCTTCTCAGCAGTGGTGGGACTTGAACATTCTTGGAAAATGAGTACTTGAGTTGGGCGTGGCCGCCTCCCTAATCCCCCGTGCTTGGGAGGCTGAGGCAAGGAATTGAGGCCGGACCAGCCTGGATGTGGTCCAGGAAATTACAAAAAGGCTTGCTAGGGTGCATCTAGAGATCCCAGTAGCTGGAACAACAGGCCTTAAATAGGAGATATTCAGGAGGGATGGGAGGAAAGGTTATAAAGGGCCCTTTAAAGCATTCTGTATTATTAGTATTGAGATAAAGTATAATGAATGGGCACTAAATGGAATGTCCCAATTACAAATGCAGAAATACAGAATTATTAAGTTTTAGTCTCATGGCTTCTGAATGCTAAGTAAGAATATGGCGTTAAAGCAGGGTGTAGTGGTACTCGGATTTAATCCCAGCATTTGGAAGGCCGAGACGGGGATCTCAGTGAGTTGCAGGACAGCCTAATCTACACAGTGAGTTCTAGGACAGCCAGAGCCACATAGTGAGACCCTGTTTCAGGAAGATAAAAAAAGGGGGTATAGAGCATTAAAGGAGTTGATCCCCAAAGACTCACCCTTTTCTGTGTCCCCATATCCCTTTGTCTTGTTCTTCGGGGGCTGAGGTTGAATTCAGGCCCTCACACACGATGAGCCCTTGCTCTTCCACGAACTTCGTCTTAAGCGCACACACTCCTTCTAATCCAGTAACTACCTCATAAATAGCCGGGCCTCTACCAGCAAGTAGCCACGAGAGCCACCGCAGTTAAGCACCGTAGCTTAAGGTCAATGTTGAGCCCTCAAACCAGGAAGTACCACATCCACATCCAAGCATTTTGATTTCTAGACACGGAAGCTGGGAGTGAGGATGCCTGCCTGCAGTCCCAGCACTTGGCAGGTTCAGGGGAAGCATCAGTTCAAGGCCAGCTTGAACAACCTGAGACTCTTCCAAAAAAAAAAAAGGAAGAAAGAAAACAGACCTCACGGAGTCATGTGTAGTTTCAAATAAGTAGACGTTTAAAAAAGAGTGTGTGCTTGTATGTGGGGGTGGGGTGAGGTGTCCTTGTGGGTGCCTGAGAAACCTAAAGGTGTTGGATCTCCCCCCACCCACCCCCACCCAAGGCAAGAGGTTTATTGGAGGATCAGGAGAGCGAAAGGCTGACTCCAGAGTGGGGACATCAGACAGACAGACAGACAGACAGAGTGGATATGGGAAAGCAAGTGTTTGCATTGGGTCTCTTGAAGCTCTACCGTTGGTTGTGAGCCACTCAATGTATGTACTGGGAACTGAACCCCATCATCTGGAAGGGCAATGCACACATTTCTTTCTTTTTCCTTTCCTTTTCTTTTCCTTCTTTCTTGCTTTCTTTTTTTCTTTTTATTTTGGTTCTTCAAGACAAGAACCAAACGAAGGGTTTCTCTGCGTAGCCTTGGCTGTCCTGGACTCGCTTTGCTACCAGGCTTTGCAGACTAGGCTGGCCTCACTCACAGAGATCCTCCTGCCTCTGCCTCCCTGAGTGCTGGGCTCACAGGCGTGTGTCACTACAGCCAGCTACAATACACACTCTTAACCACGGAGCTCTCTCTCCTTCCCCAAACAGCGACCCTTAAGTGCCTTTGTCCAGTTTTTCCTAACAGTAGCATCTTCCATAACTGTAGTACAGTATCAGAATCAGCAAATGGAGGTTGGGTGAGGTGTCACCTGTAGTCCTAGCTGCTGGGTTGATTGTGGCAGGAAGTCCATGCCCAGAAGTTCAGGTCCAGCCTGAACAGAGAGTGAGAACCTCATCCCAAGAAAAGAAGTAGGGAAAGTGCGTGCCTCTGCACCATATGAGTACCTGGTACCCATAGACGCCAGAAGAGGGCAACGGCTCCTTTGGAACTGGAGTTACAGATCGTTGCAAGCTGTCATGTAGGTCCTGGGAATTGAACCCCAGCTCCTCTGGAAGAGCAGCCAGTGTTTCTAACTACTGAGCCATCGCTCCAGCCCTACATTGTAATTGTTGTTTTCACAGTAGGATCTGAACCGAGGACCCCACTCATTCTATGTAAATACATTACTACTTGCAAAGATTTTTTTTTTTAAGCTTCTTACAAACCATGCAGGCTCTCCACACTTTAAATATTAAGAATACCCTCACTGACTGGCTCACTACAAAAGCATCAGTGGCGTGTGTCAGAAAATATTCAGACAAACAGACAAATAAACAGACAGAAGCTTATTGGAGAAAAATCAAGGGCAAATTGTATAGTTCAGTGGCAGAGTGCTTGCCTAGCTCTAGACCCTAGATTTGATCTCCAATATTATAAAAAGAAAACAATAAAAAAAATTGTGTATATGTGTGGGTGCCTGTGGAGGCCAGAAAGGGAGTTAGATCCCCCTGATGGAGTTACAGTCCCCCCCCCCCCCCGCAGAGACGGCCAGGATGGGTGCTGGGGCTGAACTCTGGACCACCAGCCAAGAGAATTTGTTCTGCACCTGCCTGAGAAGCCCCACAAGGGTGTGAAAGGTCATGGACGAAACTGCTTTTGAGAAAAGTGTTCTATTTCTTTACTTTGTATCTTTTAAAAAAGTACATTGAATTTAGCATGCGTGAGGTTCTACCCAGACCCCAAACTAAACCAAACCAAACTGTTGGAAACCCTTCTTCCAATGTTTCTGCTTTTTGGTACTTACCTTCCTCCTGAGAGTTTTTGAACAGTTTGCTACTGTGTACGTAAGCCAGTCACAGCTATAGGTCTGTAAACACTGTATCGAATTGTTTTACATGTTGTACTTTTCTTTTTTCCATGTCAGTTTTTCCACATAAACTTATTTAAAATATCTGTTCATGTTGATAACACCAATACATTAGAGGTCTCCTGCTTGGATAGACCCTGGTTGATCCGGTCTGTTGATGAACATTATTTTCTAGTTTGATCCTCCCCCCTCTGCCACCGCTGCCGCCTCCTTTTTCTGAGACAGGGTCTCTCACTGGACCTGAGCTCACTAATTGGCCAGACTGGCTAGCCAGCAAGCTCTGGAATCCTCCTGCCTCCACTTCCCCAGGTCTGGGGTTACAGGCATGAGCTGCCACAATGTTTTGTTTTGTTTTTTAACATGGGTGCTGGGGGTCCAAATTCAGGTCCTCATGACTGTACAGCAAACACTTTAATGACTGGGCCATCTCTCCCCAGCCCCTCAGTTTGTTGTTGCTATTGTTGTTGGTGGTGGTGTGTATGGAAGGAGCAGTGTGAATACATGGGGAGGACAACGTCAGGTGTTGTAGGGTATTTGAACATACTGTGAACCCAGAGATTACATCCCGGGAAAATCTATTTCCAGTTGTGGTGTGCCTCAGCCCTAGCACACACCTTTAACCCAAGAGCTTTCTGTAAACAAGAGCTAAATAAAGCAACCAGTTGACATAAGAAAACACAGGAAAAGCTGGGGGCAGTGATGCATGCCTGCTATAGTCCCAGCACTCTGGGAGGCAGAGGCGGGCAGATCTCTGTGAGTTTGAGGCCAGCCTGGTCTACAAAGCAAGTCTGGCCTCAAACTCACAGCCTGCCTCTGCCTGGAAAGTGCTGGGATTAAGGGCATGAGCCAGCATGCCCAACTGTCAGGGTGAGTTTTTAAAGAAAAACAAAAACAAAATCATAACCACGAAGGAAGACTCAATTCTAAGATGAGTATGGTGGTGCATGCTTTTAATCCCGGCACTCAGAGGCAGGCAAATGCTGTGAGTTCAAGACCAGCCTGGTGTATAAAGCAAGTCCTGGACACCCAGGGCTACCCTGTCTCAAAAAAAAAAAAAAACAAAAAACCAAAAACTCAATTCTATTCCAAGTAAATTGTGTCTAACCAAGCAAGAAGAATCAATTCTATTCTAGGTACATTGTGTCTGTGTAGCTAGACAGCACATT